CTCTACCCCTTTTGTGCTAGTTATCAGGACTGTGATTTCCTTGCGGCAGAACCCGATCTTTTACATTTATTATATGCTATCAAATTCAGCATGAACTAATGGTGCTTTCTAATGAAAATGTGTAGCCTATATCAAATTGAACTCAATTTCAGGTGACTACACGAACACTTTCCTATAGTTTTCTTGAAAACTATACAGAAGTAGTTGACTCTTGCCTTCTTCAGTTTTACTTCTTAATCTAACTTGCAGTCTTAAGATTTTAGGTGGTCTCCTATCCCTTTTAATCATATCTGATCACGCTTTACTTTTCAAAAGTAAATTTGCGGCTGACCTGTTCTGTGGGCACTTCCAAATATTCCCAACAGCTGTACATCTGTAGCATTATCACATCAATACAAAAGTCCATTTGACAGCAGGATTTAACCTGAAAGGGTAAATGCTTGACCGGAACAGTTTATTACCATCTACATTACCAACCAATGGAACAGCTTCATCACAGGAAGCTTTCAAGAAGAGACTGGACTGCCATCTGTCAGAAATGGCGTAGAGTTTCCTGCTTGGGTTGGATTAGATGACCTACAAGGTCCCTTCCAACTCTGTTAATCTGTTAAATAACATTTAATCTGTAGGGGAAATGAGTAAGAGCAGAAGGGAGATAAGAAGTGAGTATAGCAATCCCTTGTGTTGATGCTGGTCTCACAGAGTCATTACAGAGACAATAGCAAAACACTTAGACTTGTATACTGCTTTACAGTGCTTTACAGTGCTCTCTAAGAGGTTTTTACAGAGACAGCATATTGCCCACAACAATTTGGATCCTCATTTTATCCACCTCGGAAGGATGGAAGGCTGAGTCAATCTTGAGCCTGGTGAGATTTGAACTGCCAAATTGCAGGCAGCTGGCAGTCAGCAGAATTAGCCTGCAGTACTGCACTCTAACCACCATGCCACTGTGGCTCATTCTTTTGGTTTTAATGACAAGCAATGACAAAGACCTCTGACAATATTGGCTTCACTGTCAGGGGCATTCAGGGGCCCATTGGGGTAGATGGTAATTTCAACTTCTTTGCCAGCTTTAAAGAAATTCCTCATGACTTCTAGCCTATTGCTTTTCTTTTTAATATATACTCCATTTTCTTACCGCAAAATTGTGCCTTTTTAGACTCCATTTCCTTTGGCATATCCTGATTCAAAGATGTAAATACGTGTTTATATGATTCTAAGTATTTATTTCTGCCTTTTAAAGCAGGACTGGTAACTGGTTTTCCTTATGGGTGTTTTATTGCTCTAAAATAGGGAAAATCTACCCACAGATTCTGGGCCATTTTTCTTTTTTCATTAAACCCAAAAGAAAAGTTTCTGGTTTCATTTTTATGTTTGTTTTAAGAGTTTTCTGTATTATAATATGAATCTTACTCCAAAATTTCTTTGCTTTATCACATGTCAATCATAAATGATAAGAAATTTCTTCTTTGCTTTTACACTTCCAACATTCATTTGAAATACCTTTGTTGAAAGAAATATCCATATCTGTTTCAGTTCCAAGCTCAGAGAAAGACACTGAAAACATGAAGGCTGATTGGAAAGAAAGGTTTATTGATAAAGCAGAACTACATGTGATTCTGGGTAGCTGACAAAATGGAGTTGAGAGTCACTGGGTTTTTATGCCTTCTTTGGGCTTTGTATTTGAGCTTCCTGTTTCTGTGAAAGAACATGTCCTCTAATATTCTATTGGCTGTTGTCAGATTCCCATGAGGTTATGTAGGGGTTATGAAGGGGTCATAGCTGGCTCTATAGGCAAAAGAGGAAATGCAAATCCTAGGTGCTTATCTAAGCTAATCTGGTCAACCTCTGGCTTATTGTTTATCTGAGCTTCCAGGTTTCTGTGACTTGGACTGTTTGGACTGTTCTGGGGCTGGTGCAATGAAGGGGCTTGTGTTCTGAAAGGGTGTTGGGCAATTCCTATTGTGGCTAATGGCTTTCGTCCTGTGTTGGATCTTGGGTGAGGGGTTGCTTTCCAATCCTACCATTCTGCCAAGGAATTTAAAAATATCCTGTCTTGAATGGATTACCAAATCTGCATTTCTAAAAGCTGGCCTCCTCAGTTTCTGCTTGGGGGGCAGGGAAACTGGGGCTGGTTTAAGAGCATGTTTCTCCATTTCTCCTTTAGGGAAATATAATATCTTGCCTTTTAAATATTCCTCAAAATATTTCATTCTTCTGGGGTGGGGCTTCCCATATCTTTATATATTCTAGATAACCTATCTGGTGTTAAGTACCAATGATACATCATTTTATAAAAAAAATCTTTTAAATTATAGTTTAGTGTAAATTTTAAACCTTTCATCCACATATTTCCCATCGTTCCTGGGCCATATTTCTAAAGCTCATAGTGATATTTAAACTCAGCAGTGCAATTGCTGAGTTCATTTTGATCAAAATAAGCAGGTAGGTGTGCTATAAGCCTCCACTAAGTGAGTGGGCTAGAGGAATACTGTAAATACCAGGAAAAGGAGCTTTTGCTCTGCCAACAGCAAAAAAGGAGGGGGGGTGTTGACATAATTTCCACAGCATATGGTTCGTCCCCCTCTTTAGGTGTGAAAGCAAGGGGACATATTGGACTTCACTGTTTGAGTTGGAGCTTGCTTCCGAAGATGGGATGAGGTCCTTTGCCAACTCCTGGAGTGGATTCCTTGGCAAACCGTTTCAGAGGAAAAATGTTTCAAAATCAGATTGGAGTTGTCTGGGGACAGTAAATCTCTTGCAGTGGGCAGCTACTAAAGACCCTCTAAAGAAAGCAACTAGCTGCCTTGGCTAGATTGTCCCAATTCCTTAACATCTTTGGTCTTGCTTGTTGTATGAAGCTGCCCGCCCCCCTGCCCCCAAGATTTTCTCCTGAGTGAACAAGTCAACACATGTGCAGTGATGTTCTGATTAGGGAAAAACCACTTCAAGGAGAGCTCCAGGCAACTGCCTTGCAGGCAGGAGAGGTGGGGGAGGCAGTTATAATAATAGCTGGGGATCTGTGGGTGGGTGAAGCATGCTGTGGCTGGCTCCAGATGGGTCTATATCAAACCAGTTTTGGACTATGCAGCAAGTACAGCTTTGCAGACTTCACTGGCATTGAAAGCCTAGTCAGTTCATACACTCAGGGTATTTTGACATAACTCCTTAAGGCCAAAGAGGCTGGCTCTATATAAAAGCAGTATTCATGTTTTTGTTACTTTGCTTTTGTTGGTGTTCTTTTCATATTTTGCAAAGGCCAACATTTAGTCATGGGATCCTCAATCCCTGGTCAACCCCATCCTCACTCCCAACAGAACAGGTTGCTGTTCTACCTGTTGCAATCTTTCTTTCTTTCTTTCTTTCTTTCTTTCTTTCTTTCTTTCTTTCTTTCCACTGAGGGTGTATGTTTGTTTTCCTTATGTTTTTAGTCTCCAAATCAGGACTGGAAACCTGGAATTTGCAACAATTGGAACACATTTCTGAATTCATCTTAATGTAATTGGGTCCAATTCATGCACCCCTGTTTCACAACCATGTTTCACTGACTCCCAGAACTCTTTCTTCAGTATGAGCATGTGTGGGATTGTCCTGGAAGAGGACTTGCTGGGAACATCCTTCCCAAAGAATCATGAAAACCTTAAAATGATACACCAGTTAAGATGACAGGCGGGAACAACAAGAACAGAAGAGAAGGAATAAGTGCCTGAGTCTACAGACACAACTAATCTAAAGTAAATTATTCCCTTTTCTATTATAAAAAAAAAAAACAGAGTTGGAAGGGACCTTGGAGATATTCTAGTCATCTAGTGCAACCCCTGGCTCAAGCAGGAGATGTTATATCATTTCAGACAAGTGGTTTTCCAACCTCTTCTTAAGAGCCTCCAGTGATGGAACCCACACAACTTTTGAAGACAAGCTGCTCCACTGATTAATTGTTCCAAAGCCAAAATAAAGTAAGGTGACCAAAGTAAAGAATGATTCTATAATCTTAGAATTCCAACTGCATTTGACTCCCATGCAAACTTCATAGGATCCCTATATAAGCCTTGTGTAACCAGAAAAAGCTCCTCCTCATTGTGCACCCCAAAATCAGCAATGTCATTTTACAAAACGTTATAGGTTCTCTGGCTGTTTTATAATTTGTAACACTTGTAGGTCGGTATCACTGGGGCTATTTGGGGGCATCCTTACACCAAACACCTCTTTACCTGAATCATATAGAAGCCGTGAAGCACCTTTTTTGCCTTTGAAACCAAGCCACTGCTTTTGGTGATCATAAGCACCTCTTTGTGCCAATGTTAGGTCTAGACTCCACCACAGTGTAAATAAAGCTCTTGGATAAGCTGGAAACCTTGCCAGCTGAAAGACTGCCCATCCCCACTGAAGAAGTGCAGTGCAGAACTGTGTTCATACATTCAGTAAATATATGCTTAGGCTAAAAGGAAATTCAATAATAGTTTTCAAATTCCTGAAAGGGTTGGCATGCGGAAGGTAGAGCAGAGTTTTCTATCAGCAGTAAGCAGATTGCAGCCAAATGGTTGGGAAAAACTTCCTCCCAGTAAAAGTTCAACAGGAAAACTTTCTACAGCAAGAATTTCCATCAACAATTACTTGATTTGATTTAAAAAGCTGTTATATGAGAATGTTAAAAAAAAAAAACTCTAGGAGAAAAGTACATATTTTGTTTTGCAGCAGTTAAGGTGCTGGACTTTGGGAAAACCTGGGTTCAAGGCTCCACTCAATCAATGGAGCTCACTGGGTGACTTTGAGACAGCTTCACCCCCTCATTCCCCCCTCCCCAAGCTGTGGTTTGCTGAAATGTTTGTGTTAAGTTTGGGTGTGCTTTGACTTTGGGTGGTAGTAATTTCAGACAAAAGAGCAAGGAAGACGATACAAATAGTTTATCAGATTTTAAAACTTGTTTTATTTGTAATATAGATTTTTGGTATTTTGGGCAGCAGTTAATTTTTATTTCATGTTGTCATCCAGTTATACACATACATGCTTTTGTTGGGAATGATTAAGAAATCACAATTTAAAAAAAAAATCCACCGTAGGTGTTTGGTACACTTTTAAAAACAGAATAACATGGGAGAGGTTTGTATTTGTTTGCTAGTTCGGCTTGTTTTGAAGATTTTTCTAAAGCAGTGTCTTCCTTCCTCATGGCCCTTGTTTGTTATATTCCATGGTGCTGATTCTTCATGGTTGCCGGTGAAGCCTGGGGCAGAAATCTTTTGTCAAAGAAAGGCTGCTGCCCTGAATCCCTGGCTGAGTCTCTGTATCTTTAATGTAGCTTGCTGCACATGGCCACCATGAATCCCAGGTATCTCTGGTAGAAATCATCATATTGAGCTCTCACACTTTTTCAGATGGGTATACTTCTGTGCTTGCACTAAATAATGCACATTTTTTCTTTCTTCATTTCCCTTCAGATTATCTCTGTCTATATTCATTCTTGTTTTTAACCAGCAATCATGACATTTTATCTGAAGAAGCATTTTAATTAGTTGCTTATCTTCACATTATCATCTACTGAATAGCCTTTATTCCCCAGGCCTGATGGAATAGCTTTCCCTCCCAAGTTCTGCAGAAAAGTTCTGCAGGAATTCTTCAGCCTTTCAGGGGTTGTCCATGTAAAACACAAGAAGCTGAATACAATTCTTTCTTCTCTTATTTTACTTTGCAGTCCAAGAGCAATTGTTCACTCCTTTATAGACTGCCCTGGTATGTAAAATCCTTGAGGTTATGCTAAACAACCATTGGAAGATACAATTTCAGGAATAACTCTCCTAAGAGCTATGTTTCTTTAACTAGAAACATAGTTAAAATGAGAAAGCAACTTGTTGGTGGGAAGACTACCATACACAGTGTGGGTGTAAGGTAGTCTTTATAACCGTGGTGTTGTGTTGCATTTACAATATGTACTATGATGCTACTCTTACAGTTATAATTTTTGTGGCATATATTGTTTTTCTTCTTATCTCTGGTCTACTTGGCTGTCATAAATTCTTATTCCCTGATGCACTAAATTATTGCTGTACATTCTCATTCCTCCTTAAGACCAGTTTTCAGGTATTCAGGTTTGGGCTATTGTCCTGTTCAATTAAATTTCTGTGGCTAGATACTGAAAAAAAATATTCTGAATACCTGGAAATATAGAATATTAGTATTGTTAGATACAAAATGGGCATTGATTTCATTGTGCTAATTTATGTCCTGATGCTCCACTTTCCTGGGATTTTTTTGCAGCAAATGTCCCCAATTTTGTATACATTTGTATTTCATTGCTTACTCTCAAAGTGTTATAATTACAGAGTTGTTGTATTGCTAATAAATGCATTATTCACTTCATCTGTGATATTATATATACTATGGGAAGGGAAAGTGAATTTACATGAATATAATATTGCTCTGTCAGTTTATTAAAAGAATGAATTTATCATACATGATTGTTGGCATTCCTTTCACATGTGCATCTTCTAGGAAATATGGTCCTTGTAAAAATATATAAATGATCATTGCTCATGTTACAATTATCAAAAAAATCCTCAAATTTAAGCAGTCTTTCAGGCTATGAATTGATGAGAATCCAACTCACCAGCCAATCATTGCAGCTTTAGTACCTTGTAAGGGGACATTTCAAGCAGGAAGAAGAGTGTTAGAGTGGGATACATTTTCTTGGTTCCAATTTCCACAGACTCAAGATGAACCCTGGATATCATATTGTGAGTTTTTAATATTCTTTCTGTATACAAAGTGATTCATTATTGTGTCATGACACATTCCTTGCAAAGGAGATGTTTGTGAAACGGAACTTCTACTTTGATCACTCTTCTCAAATGATATATATATCGTGATTCATTGAGTTGCCCTTTCCATTGCATTAATTAATATAACGTTTAACGATGAAGATGAGAAAGACAACCAGCACAGAGACTAGCAAAGCAGCAACAGCAGTAACAGCTACAATGATAGCCAAATAGGATTCTGAAAATCAAATAGAAGGACAATTGGAAAAGGAGAATGAAACACCACAACATTATTGTCAAAACATTTAAATATTTTAGGGTGGGTGAATTTTGCAAAGAGAATTCAATGTATCACCCAACTGTATTAATAAGGCTATTATGCTACTTTATATTATAAAACAACTACAAATCCTCCAAATCAAACTAAACATTAATAAGCATAGCTGTACTTCACATGTGACAAAGAACCAGCTGCCTTCATATTTTCCAAGCAGAACATTACATTAATATGATCTGAAACTGACTTTGAAGAGCAGATGGCATCTGAGGGTATAAGTATCTATTGTAAGCTGAAAAGTAAACTCAACTAACAGAAATAGCAATCAGATGGGATATTGCATTTTACATATGTTCACACAAAAATTCATAACCATTTTTTCTGCCACTGAATTAGTACAAATTTAACATATTAAAAATTTCAGACCTCTTAAGTTTCAAGAAATAACATTTCGGTATATTAGCAATTATTTGTTCATTTTAGACTGAATTTATAACTCAACAGCAAAGGAAAAATTTGCATAAAGACAACTCTACACTAAATCTTGGGTGACTGCAATGGCCACAGCTTTACATGTTTCATTTCATGTAAATTTGGATAATCATTAGCTGATTAAGCTAAAGATTTGAGGGAAATAAGTGGGTTGATAAAATATGGGTCTGCTAATAATCTGGACATATGAGGGACCACAAAAAAAGTTTGAGTTTTACAAGGAGGAAAATGTGTTTTACTCACAAGGCATAATTTTCTTTTTTCCCTCAAGAAAAGTGTCATTTAAAAATTTAGTTTCCTGATTCTCTTGATAGAATGCTGAATACAATTCTTCTTTGATATGTCTAAGCATTGACCTGAAAGCTGGGTGTTTTCCTCAAGTCCAGCCCTGGTTGCCAATAGCCACAGTTTAGATTATTCACTATAATCCTTTAACCCCTTGTTTATGTTTGTTTGGATTTGTTTTTTTAATTGTATTATATTTTATTATTTTATTTTTGTTAGATTGTGAGCCACCCAGTGTTCAGAATTGGGTTGTGCCTCAGTTGAATAAAATAATTTGAATTAATTATATAAATTAAATTAAATTGGGAACAGATAAAGAGATTTTTCTCAGGAGGAATATATCCAGTTTTGGGGGGAGGAGTTTGCAAATGTTTCCTTGTGGACAGCATTCATGGACTCAAGTTAATACGCTTTTTATTGTACTATTTCCCATTTGTGGACTCACTTCCTCTCCAAGATAAGATTCCTCCAGTCTCAACTTCTATTTTTCTGCCATTTTGTTTTGTTTCTCTGTGTTATATATTCTCTACCATACCAGTCTTGGTGACATTAATTGAAGGGATATGCACAGTAGAAATATTATGAAATAGTAAATAAAGGCATTATAGTCCATCTGTGACATGGAAGATAACTTAATATGTCGCCTTTATTTCAGACATGTATCAGCTGAAGAACAGGGTAGGAAAGATTAGTTCTTATTTTAAAAATGAGTTGATGAAACATATTTAATTAAAGTAACTTTCCAACTAAGAATAGCTAAACAAGCAGGAACTGATATGTGGAGGAGGACTAGAATGGTATGTTTCATAGGTGGCTGGCAGAGGTGGTATTCAGCAGGTTCTGACTGGTTCTGGAAAACCATTAGCGGAAATTTTGAGTAGTTTGGAATACCACCTCTGACTGGCCCAACCCCCATCTGCCTCCTAAGTCCCAGCTGATCGGCTGGGTCTTCTTTTGTTGCCCCGCACAGGAGAATGAAGATGGAAAGCAGGTTAGTGGGGTGGGCAGGGAATGGGGATTTTACAGTATCCTTCCCCTGGAGTGGGTTGGAAATGGAGATTTTGCAGTATATCCTTCCCCTGCCATGCCCACCAAGCCACGTGTATCAAGCCACATCACACCCACCAAGCCATGCCCACAGAACTGGTAGTAAAAATTTTTGAATCCCACCACTAGTGGCTGGCAACCTCAACATTATGATGTGGTCTCTCTTCATATTATATAATAAAGAAAAGTATCTGAGCATGCATGGAGTCCTTTTCTCTCCTATCTGAGCAATCACATGCTTTTTCTGCATACTTATAATAAAGCCTTCTGTTGTACTTGTGGGTAAGACAGATACTTTTGGGCAGACCCTGGTTTAAAATCTTGGCATTTTGTTTTTAAACACTAATCAGTCTTCCCTTGATGGTATTCTGAGTTCTATCACTGAATCGTAGGGTTGGAAGGGATCTTGGGGGTCTTTTAGATCAAACCCCTGCCCTAGACAGGGGTCCTTATTCCACCCCTGGTTGTTTAGTCTTTTCTCGAAAACCTCCAAAAATGAAGCGCCCAGAACGAATCCAAATGCCGTAGAAAAAATGCTCTTGACAGTCATACAGTTCTGGTGTAACAATCTTTTTCTTCCCCAGCCTATTGTCCATGTTTTATCCTCACTGCGTTCCTTGAGGCCAAATGGCACCCAACAGGAGCAGCAGTCTTATCCCAAATTGATTGGGCACAAAAAATAAATAAAAAAATCGAGCATATGGATTCTGACATGTGAAGTTCACTTAACATGTCGTAGTGAATAAGAACTGCTTCTCTGATCCTAAATATGCATGCAATTGTCTATGCATTCCTTTTAAAAAAAATGGAGAAAGAATTAATGCAGTTTAAAAGAAAAATACAATAGCAAACATCTGCCCCCCCCTTCCCACTCTCTCTGAAATATGTCTGAACTGGCTGTTCACCATTTATACGTTTTTATAATAACAAGGGTGGGTGGGAAGTACGCTATTTGGTCATCCCTAGAGAATGGAAGCTGTTGCTACATTTCTGCAAATGAGACAAGGTTCTGGCATGTCTGCTCAGTGAAGGTTCTTGGCTTGCAAACTTATCAGCAGTCTTGAGTGAAACTTCTGAGGATTTGGCTTGATAGACTGGTTCCTGTAGGCTGAAATGCACTGCTGCATGACAATAACCATGGTCCTCTGGCTGGAGGGTGACAGGGAGAGTGACCGTATAGTTTTCTATTTCAATCCAAGTACAGTTTGTAAAAAGTTGGCGTACCCACCATCTTTGACCCTTTTAAAAAGGTCACCACAAGGTTAAGGCAGGGATATGTTCTTATTATGTGGCATATCAGGATATAGGCCCAGCTCTGGCTTGGGGACAGCTTCTGGAGTTCCAGGGTCATTTTATCAACAGGTCCTGTAATGCAGGGGTCTCCAACCTTGGCCACTTTAAGCCTGGAGGACTTCAACTCCTAGAATTCCCCAGCTAGCTTTGCTGGGGAATTCTGGGAATTGAAGTCCTCCAGGCTTAAAGTGGCCAAGGTTGGAGGCCCCTGCTGTAATGGCATCATATGTGGCCAAAGAAAGACAACATTAACTGGACTGAATGGCTGGATTTCTTCTCTGAGAGAATATTTCTCTTCCTTGCTCTCCTGCCAATAGCTGGAGGGGTCCAAGCTCTTCCAGGGTTCCTTCACAACTCCTCATTGACCTGCTTCAAGGAGAAAGATTTCCTCTATCTGCCAAATTTGGACATTGCTACCACCACCCCTTAGAAATCTTAAAAACTTAGAAATTTCTTCAGATTCCTGTTCAGTCAAGGAATTGGAAGTAGGGCTGTGGTTTAAACAGACTGGATCTCCCTGAATCATCACCACATACTCTACGTGGAAAATTGAGGGGCTATTAAAAAAAGACTTTTTTTAGTAGCCCTTAAATTCCAAGTTTACAGCATTAATCAGACTACAGCAGTGAATACCTAAGCAATAGTTCAAATGATAGACAGTTTTAGAAGTGCTGGTATTTTATATGATGGCTGATAGGCTTTTTCTTCTGGGATATTCAGGTATCTAACACAAGAACATACTGTATGCACTTGGTTACGTTAGATAATATAAACAAATTAGGAATTGATGGCTATTTTATCTTGGTGGATCTATTTAGCAGGATAATTGATTCTTCAGGACCAATTTTGTGATAGTGTTTCTTAACAGACTATTTTGACATCTTAGAACATTTTGGCTCATAAGGCAACATTTGCCATTTGGTCATGAAATTCTGTGCTGAAATGGACATTAAATGCCCAACCATTTCCAACCTTCATTTCTAATCTTATCTAAGGAACAATAAATCATCCTTAATTTGACAGCAGAAATTGTATTGAAAACCTACTTTCACCCCTCAACCACTGCTCTGCTTCTTTTTAAAGTACCAACATCTTTGATGAATCATCCTTCTAGAACATATTTTTGTGAAATGTTTTCCCACCAAAGTATCTTAATTCATCTGATCACAGATGTCTATCCTTTACTGTATTTCAACTACACACTGAACTGCAAGCTCGCCAACCTATTTATACTTTAGTGTGTCATGTGTAAACCCAACATTTATAGTTAGTTTATGTTTCAGGGTGTTAAAATTGAGTTAACTGCTTGTAAACATGGCCTTTGTATAAAACATGACGCTCTTTTTCCAGTCGTAGGAAGGAATGCAGCTTGCTTAAAATGCTGGGTTAGAGGCAGAAAGACCCATATTTTACTCCACAGCTGGCTTTGGAACCTTTCAGGGTGACTTTAGGCCAGTCACCTTCTCTCAGCCCAACCTACTCAAGTGTTGTTATGGGAAAAAGTAGGAGGAGCATTATGCCTCTTGAATGAAAGGCAAGATATAAATGAATGAATGCTAATATAAGAGGATATAAGAATTGTCCTTTCAATGCTCTTTTTAGAGCACATACAGAATGTATATGTAGTGTTTTAGGAGATTCTAGCCCTCCATCCTAAGCTAGAAAAAAATAACTACTTAGGAGAGGGTGCTAAAGTCTGTGTGTGTGTTGTGGGGGAGAGATGCTGATTTAAAAGTCTGTTTTCATCTTTTGCAGGGCATAATTAAAAGGGCAAGAGGATGTTGCTTTTTGCACTGGACAAGCTGGATGGTGGACTCATAAATCAACTGACAGCTTCTTCTTCTTGCTACTCATTCTTCTTCCTTTCTCCTGACTCTTACAAATGTTGAAGACAATAGCCAACAACATATATGTCTTGCACATCCTTGAGTGCAACAGAAAAGTGGCATCATGAATTACACTGATACAGATCAACAAGGCCAGGCTGTCCTTATAGATTTAGTGCAGGAATCTTTCAGGAGAGTGAGCAGTGGTTTCTTCAACTTTCCTTTCTTTCTGCAGACAAAGTCACCTACCAGCAGGAGAAATAACCACGATCATTCTCCATAACATTTGGTGGGGAAGGAGAGGGAGACTTCTGGCACTCTCTTCTAAAAATCCAAAATCTTTCCAAAAAACATTTTGCTGGGTTTGCCACTGAACTATCAGCCTCTTTCAACAGCCCCTGTGGCAGTGTGGTGTGGAGAAGTAAATTTGGGTGCTTTGGAGCATTTGCAATGAAGAAAAACTTTGTTAAAGGGTTTTTGAGTACTGTTATTTACTGCATTAGATGTAGAGTCAGTCCTCACACAATGACCAGGCACTTAATGACTATTCAAAAATTACAGCAAAACCCTAGAAGTTATTTACAACCCATCTTCAAAGTTACAGCTGCTGCATTTCCCCAGCCCGCAGTCACCTGGTCACATTTCAGGAGTTTGGCAACCAGCTTGCATCTAAGGTACGACCAGTAGCAATGTGCCATGGTCACATTATCATGTCACAAAATTGAGTCAGTTGCATGGTGACCCACTTACTGACCTCAGTGACTTACAATGGAAATTCCAGGCTCAGCTGCAGGTTAAGTGTTAAGTTTATAAAAGTGCCCTCCTGCATTTTCAAAAGTATTTAATTCTTAAACCTGAAATTCTTTTACATTGTTATTATCATTATTGCTGCAAGTGAAGTGAAGTACAGTCCAAGTAGGGGGTGAGGATTCCACCATCCCTGAACATATAGACTGAAACATGCTTCTTTCCCCTACTGCAGGGGATAAGAAAGAAAAAATATATTTCTTCCTTGTTTTTCCTCCCTCCCTCCCTCCTCTTTTTCCTGCTAATTCTTCATTTCCCACAGCACTAGTTTTGGAAAGATGTTGCCATCAGTGCCCTGATTATGCCTTAAAATTGGGACTGTGATGACCTCTTTCCTTTTGTTACAGTTTTTGTTTAGACCTTTGACTGCTGCAGTTGTCTTCATAGCAGAGGGGGATTGGGGCCCCAGGGCTGCCTATAGCAATATTAATTAGACTTATATACCACTTTATAGTGCTTCTTTATAGTCCTCTCTAAGCGGTTTACAGAGTCAGCATATTGCACCCAACAATTTGGGTCCTCATTTTACCCACCTCGGAAGGATGGAAGGCTGAGTCAACCTTGAGCCTGGTGGGATTCGATCTGCCAAATTGTAGGCAGTTGGCTGCAGAAATAGCTTGCAGTACTGCACTCTAACCACCGCGCCACAGAAGCTCCTAGCCTCTCCAGAGCAGTCCACAGGCCCTTCTAAAAATTGCCATCTAACTTTAATGTGAAAGAACAGGAAGTTAAAGAATAATGAGACTTTATTAACTCTAATTAAGTTCATTTTCCTCAAGTTCCAGTTGCTTCTCTTCTTTTTTTTTTGCCCTGGTCTTGCATGTTTCTCTGTCTGACCTTAACTGCTGCTATTCTGCAGGGCGGTCACTATAGGACATTGACATGGCCCGAGTCTCAAGAAAGGCAAGTTGGAAAGACCTGCTTTAAAGGAAGTGAATGGGAGTTCGCCAAAATCTATGCAAAGATAATCAAATAGAGGGATGAATTAAAAAGGGGGAAGACCTTTTCTCTCTCATGCACACCCATCCACCCCACCGGAGCGGGGGGATTATTATACTCTGTAACTACAGAGTGAAGTAAATCAGAACTGGAGCAATGGATGGGATCTTACCCCAAATCCACAATGACATGCTGTAGGAGGTGTTTTCCAGGAGTGGTCCTGTTGGTCCCAGATCCAGGGAGGTTTGGCAGGTGATTGTCTTGCTGTAGTCATCTTTCTGAGCTATCATGTGATAGTTCACCACAACAGCACCAGCCTCAGGGTCAGTATGATCCTTATAGGTCTTTACCAGAAGTTGCTCTTCCCCTTTCAGCAAGGTCACGGTGAGGTTCCGGATGGGGGCTACCCCAAAAACTCGGCATGTTAAATTATACTGCTTGCCCACTTCCATTTCTGGTACTGGATCCAGCTCAATCTCCTCTGGAGGTTCTGTAATAGAATAAGATATAGCCAAACATCTTCAATGTGATGATGAGTAAAATCCTGTCTTTTCTAGACTTAATTCCATTGCAGTTCAGCCAAAAAATTTTTCAAAGCACATCTGGGATAGAATGTGGGAAGTCCTTGACCTACAATAGCTCATTTAGTGACCGTTTGAAGTTACGGCACTGAAAAAAGTGACTGATGATCATTTTTCACACTTATGACCTTTGCAGCATTCGCTCCCCCCATGGTCACGTGATTTACATTTGGATGATTGACAACTGACTCACATGTATGAGGGTTGCAGTGTCCCAGAGTTGTGTGATCCCCTTTTGTGACCTTCTGACAGGTAAGATCAATTAGGAAAGCAGATTCACTTAACAACCGTGTTACTGATTTAATGACTGCAGTGATTCACTTAACAAATGAAGCACAAAAAGTCGTACAATGGAGCAAATTTCTCACTTAACAACATAAGTTTTGGGCTCAATTGTGGTTGTAAGTTGAGCATTACCTGTACATGTCTATATTTGGCCGTCTGTCCTTCTCTATCACCCACTAAAGGCTTCCTTCTCCTTCCTTTTCTTTGAAAAAAAGTAAGCGGATCTCCCTGCAGACTGGTGGAAAGTGATTTCTCAGCAGAAGTAAGTGTGGGAGAACTTGGAGTAAAGCATTGGTGGCTGCATTCTTTAAAAGCAACTTAAGCTCTGCAAACAGTGAAAGTGGCCAGCCATATTCTGCTAACCGCAGAAAAGGGGTAGATTTATTACATTAGCTAATATGTACAGTTGCAGGATTTGTCTGCTCTCTCCTCTCATCCCTTCTTAAGGAGGAAGGAAGAGGGAAGTGAGAAGAGCATCCAGCAGTGATGGCCAATATTTTCCTTCTATCCCAGGCCGCCTGCTGTTGTTGCTGCAGAACAGGGCTGTCAAACTCCTGGCCTGCAGGCCCGATGCGTCACGCACTGGCCACGCCCATGCCTGGTTTAGCGAATCTCACAAACTTTTCCTCTATGTGCCCAGACATGGCTGAAAAGGTTTCTAGAGGGAGGGAATTCACTGGCTGAGATACTGTAACTGCGAAACAGTTAACACTTTCTCTACTAACCTAAGGCAGAAACAAATCATCTAGCTCAGGGGTGTCCAACCTTGACAACTTTAAGACTTGTAGACTTCAACTCCCAGAATTCCTCAGCCAGCAAAGCTGCTTGAGGAATTCTGGGAGTTGAAGTCCACAAGTCTTAAAGTTGCCAAGGTTGGACACCCATGATCTAGCTAAACCAAGTTCTTATTGTTTCATTTTACTGGCACACTTTGGGGCCATTTTAGTATATAATTTTTATTGTAACTAGAGTGAGCACTAGATACTTCTAAGTGCCAGATAACCACGGATTACTAAGATTAAGCTTCAGCAGTCAAGCGTTGATTTTGAAACAGATGCTTGACATTAAATTGGAACTTCGAATGACTTTCTCTGTCAGTGGGATGACAGTGGCAAAGAAGTTTAATGCCAAAAGCAAATCTAAAAGAAATTATAAAGGATTTCAAGGCCTAATTGCATAAAAACCTCTTTAGCTGTTGTCAGAGGGTGAAATGGGACAAAGTGTAGTTTTTCCAGGGTGGTGGTGGGAAATCTAAAACTTTGCTGCAATTGTAAGGGGGGAAGTTCCTGCAAGATGCCTGGGGACTTCTTCTGGACATTATAAATCAGGTGTGTCAAACTCAAGGCCTGCTGGTTGCATTCAGCCCGCAGTGTGTTTAGACCTGGCCATGGGGCCACCCTGGAAAGAGCAAAGGACCAGCCTGTGGTGCCTCTGCCAGTGAAAACGGAGCTCCATTTTCCCTGGCAGAAGGTTGCAGGAGGCCGTCACGGTCAAAAACGGAGCTCAGGAGCCGGCCCCTCAAGGTCAAACACAACCCTGATGTAGCCCTCAATGAAATTGAGTTTGACATGCCTGCTATAAATCTTCCTCTATATCAGGCAGATTTGTACTCTCAGGTTTGCCTTTTGGCTTCCTGAGCCCCCATTTTCTTTTCTGATCTTGTTGAATTTGAGCGCCTGATCCCAAAGAAGGGAGAATTCCTCCCTCTCTTCCACCGAACTGCAGTAAGGCTCCTTTACAGTAGGCAACATTAAAAAATTAGACTTTCATAGCTGAATTTAACTTACGGTAAACTGTGACAATTGTTTCCCAAGATCTGGGTTCATTATTACAGGTCACAACACATGATGCACGGAGTGACCAGTAAAGGACAATGAAAGTGAAAGCTTTCCAGGTGGGGCCGATGTCATCAAAATCATAGTTTTCAGTTGACCTCTCCTGAATATCACAGCTACTGCTGCTGCTGTTGTTCGTTGTGCAATTCAGCACAAAGAAGTGTCCAAATCTCACCACAGCTTTTCTCAAGGGCTCTGTTGGGTCTTTCTCCTGAGCCTCTGAAAACACAAGAAAAACACACATGTGTCAGGAACAGGAAATAACAAGATACTGTCATTTTCTTCTGATTTTGTCCAAAGTATTTAAATCTCTCACGCAATCAGCTGAGATCTTGCTCACCAATATCACCATGAAAAATTCAGAAAAGGATGTTATTATAGTAACCTGCTTCTACGGTGACATCCAGAAAGATGTTTGTAAAATTTTGCACCAGGAGGTTAACTCTTATTACTGAACTTCTAAAATACTTGTTAAATTGTTGTTGTTAAATGTTCGGATTGCCACCTGTTTCAGAAGCATACACATAATTTTATCCCTCAGTAAATTAGCTGTTTGTCTATCATAGCAAAAAAATAAAATAATCAACCAATCACATTTTTCTTATTAAATTTTTATTAAAAGGCACACAAATGCCTCCTCCATATGTCATTTTTCACAGCTGATCTAGAATTATATTTTCTTAACTCTTATCCCCTTCTTTAGCAATAGCAACAGCACTAAGACTTATATACTGCTTCACAGTGCTTTACAGCCCTCTCTAAGCAGTTTATAGGGTCAGCATAATGTCCCCAACAATCTGGGTCCTCGTTTTACTGACCTTGGAAGGATGGAAGGCTGAATCAACCGTGAGCCAGTGAGACACAAACTGCCAAACTGCTCACACCTGGTGATCAGCAGCAGTAGCCTGTGGTACTGCATTCTAACCACTGTGCCACTTTGGCTCCTTTACTTGAGATTCATGACAGTTTTCACCAACTGGACTCATAAAAAAGAATTTCTCCACAAATTCCATCAATACCTCAACAGCTTCCATCCCATCATCAATGAATCTACAAAACAAGTCCACTTCAGAGGTGGCATTCAGCCAGTTCTGACAGGTTTTGGAGAAGCGGTAGCGGAAATTTTGAGTAGTTCGGAGAACAGGTAAATACCACCTCTGACTGGCCCCATCCCCATCTATTCGCTGCCTCCTGAGTCTCAGCTGACCAGAGTCCCAGCTAATCAGCTGGGTCTTTTTTTGTTTCCCTGCACAGGATAATGGAGCTGAAAAGCAGGTTAGCAGGGTGAGGAGGGAATGGAGATTTTGCAGTATATCCTTCCCCTGAAATGGGGTGGAAATTGAGATTTTTCAATATCCTTCCCCTGCCACACCCACCAATCCATGCCCCACCCACCAAGCCGCACCACACCCACCAAGCCATGCCCACAAAACTGATAGTAAAAAAATTCGAATACCACCACTGGTCCACTTCCTTAATGTCACGGTAAAATCACACAATGGACACCTAGGCAATATACAGCATGCTTCTAGCTTCCACCCAGAGCACATAATCAAGCCACCCTCTCATCTACATCCAGGCGCTACACTACAATGGCATCTGTTCTGGTCCACCTGAAGGTCATGCTCAAGTGGTGGAATTAAACCAGACACTCAGGAGGCTGAATGTATCTTCCAAAGAAGATCAACAGGCAAATCAATAAAGCCTGTTTGGTTCTCAGGAAAGATCTATTAAAAGACAGACCACAAAAACAGAACAGAATACCATTGTCACTTATAGCTCACAGCTCAATCACACAAAAGATTATTAATAAGCTCAAGCCAATAATGGACAGTGACACTTCATTTTCTCAAGTACATGATATATTTTATTTACTTATATTTTAAATAAGCACCCATCCATCGTGAAGCATATTCTCACAAGCAATAAGAAACAACAGGACAATGATGCTAAAACAGGAACCTGACCCTGCCACAAACCCAGATTTGCTCCCACAAATACCAATGGCTCCATCACCAGCTCCAACAAGTACACTCTAAAGTGAAATACTCCATCATCTGCCAGCAATGCTCTTCTGGATTCTATATAGGATAAACAGGAAAAACTTCACAGAAAAGTCCAGAAAAGCTGTTAGTGTTTGGGGACAAACCCCCAAGCAGAGTATGCAGCAGCAGTCAAGCCAGGCAGCCAAATGAGAGAGAGGCTGGGCCCAAGAGTTTACACACACTGGAGACAAAAACACTGTTTGTAGTTTTAAATAGTTGTTTAATTCATACAGAGTTTAAGCAGTGTCAATCAGTCCATATGTCATTATCCAATATATCCATCCAGTAACCTAGTCCATTAACTAGTCAGTACAATGTCTTTATCTGCTTGTTGAAATATCTTCTACTCCCGATACCTTTCTCTGGAAGACAACGCTGAGTATGCACAGGATATCAGCTCACTTTTGTTCAGTAGAAACGGTATCCAGCACAGTAGCCAACAAGCAGTAACAAGCAGACGTCTCAAACAGTAGTAAACAGCAGGCAGGCAGAGAGCAGAGAGACCAGACCAGGAACCAGGAACCAGGAACCAGGAACCAGCAAGGACCAGGAAGTGTTACGTTTATCTCACTGCCTCTTATTGCTGCTTGCAACCGCACCCTTAATTATCTAATTACATTGCAGTTTGGTGCTTAAAGCTACAAACACTTAAACCTAGGTTTACATATTTATTCACCCAAACCTAGTTGGTGTATCCATATACCCAACAAAAGCTAAACAAAAAAAATCACATTTGACTAAGACAGATGCAGGAAAAATTGTTTTCCCATAATGTTTTTATCTCTGTCTACTTGTGCTTAGTAGTGTCTTCTTTTTGTGTTTTTCTATTTTCCTATTCAGTGCAGAACAATAGTGGTTAAGACACCAGGCTAGAAACTGGGAGTTGTGAGTTCTAGTCCCGCCTTAGGCATGAAATCCTTTGGATGTCCTGCAGCCAGTCATTCTCTCTCAACTCTAAGAAGGGAAGATTTCAAAAAAAAAAATCTCAACAAACACAATGGCATTTTAACACATGACAACTATTAATTGATAAGGTACTTGTAATCAGCCTCATATGTAGCCTGCATCTTATAACCACCCTCTTTTCCCCTCCCCTTTTCACCCCAATTTAAATCTTTGAGGCAAGATTTAGACTTAGCCAGTGGCCACTCTATGCAGATGAGGAAGTGAGATGCAGCTCATAACAGCTACTGCATATCTTTTAAACAAAATGTTGCAAAAGGTGCTGCTAGACTCCTGATTTTTGGTCACTCTGGGTTGCTCACTTGTTTCCCCTTGCTAGAGATGGAAAGAACCAGAAAATGTTGCCCCTCTGCTTTTCTATGGGAAGGTAAACTGGAAGACAAATCCTATCACCCTTGACTACTGAACATGCTGACATCCAGAGAGAACCAATTTAACATCAGTATTGTTCCAAGATCTTCATGATCTTGGGCCCATTACTACTGTACAAACAGATTAACAGAGTTGGAAGGGATCTAATCCAACCCCCCACGCCCAAGCAGGAGACACAACACCATTTCTGACGAATAGCAGCCCAGTCTCTTTTGGAAACCTTCCAGTGATGAAGCTCCCACAACTTCCAAAGCCAACTTCTATTCCTTCTGTTGATAGTTCTGTCTCACAGGCATGCCATGGCAAGGACAAAATCAAGAACTTGTGTTAAATTTCTTGAGCTCGCATGCAGCATCCATGTTTGCAGTGTGAATTTATAACATCTAATCCTTACATAATATGGTTGAGAAATGTGTTATTTCAACCTGCATGAGGGTAGTTTCTGTTGGTCCTGATAATGGCCTGAATGCAAAACACTCCCTCTCTGGATATTTTCTGAGCTGTATAGATTAGAAGTGGCCAAGGCAACCTTCTTCTGAAATGGAAAGGAGCCAGAGAGGGTTGAAGCATGCAGATTCTTGTCTCAAACCAGAGAGATGGGATGCTAGATGGAAAAGACTCTTTTTTATTGAAAAATATCATTTTATCATTTATAATTAGTTTATACCCTAATTAATCCAATCTTACAATTTATTTATTCACCCTGTGATGCTAATATCTGAACCTTCCATTTGTGCAGAAGATAGATAGCAAGACTTATACCTTTAGTATTATTACTAATAATGCATTTCTCTACTTTATAGTTTCTGAAGATTCTTCCCAGGCACATCATATTTACAATACTTATATATTGGCAGCTCATGAAATGAAATGAAAAATATACAAACATATAATAAACATACATTGAAAGAAAATGTATGCTTAAGGCCATAGCCAAGGAAACCTGGACATATGTATGCACAGAAATCAGCTAAAATTAAAAGTATAACCAAAGTTCAATACTTGGAAAAAATTAAAATTAATACTTAATTTTTGTGCTACCACTAAGAAAGTTTTTTGCTGTAGTCCATCTTGAAATGAGATCCAGGTTTCACGTTGCTAAGTTAAAGACTCAATTATTCACATATGGACAGTTCAAAAAATGAAAGCAAGGGATTATTTCCCAAACTGACTCTTGCACATAGGTTGGAATATAATGCTTGTGTTTCACTAGCCTGTTGAACGTCACAACAGACGCTGTAGCATTAAAGCACATGGTGAGTCACAGTTTGGAAAGCCAAGCAAAGACCTTCAAGGTGAATACAAAGTCCAGAGGGGAGTTTAAGTTCTGCCTGGGTTCCAGCTTTGGGACACTTACTTGAAAGGGCCAGGAGGAATCCAGCGCAACACAGAAAGGCAGTGAAGCGCTTCCAGGTTTTCATCTCCATCCCTAAAATAGAAAGGAAAAGAAGTAGCTCATTGACTTAGAAAATATCTCCTTCAAAGATCACCCCAGAATAAATCATCAGGGACAACTGCGAAGGTGAAGACCAAGCTAAGTGTCAACCTCTGACTCCAGGACCCAAGAGTCCATTCCTGTAGCCTAGGAGCGCCCACATCTTTTGGCATGTAGAGAAGTATTTGAAATCTTCCTTGATATGCTGTCTAGAACAGGGGTCTCCAACCTTGGCACCTTTAAGCCTGGAGGACTTCAACTCCCAGAATTGAAGTCCTCCAGGCTTAAAGTTGGCCTGGTTGGAGACCCTTGGTCTAGAAAACATGAATGCAAGATAACCAGCCCTGAATGTTTCCCTATATTCCAACATGCAAATGAAATATTTTAGTTACATGGTTCCCCCCACCATTTGTTCTTCTTTTGGTGATATTGGGTTGGGCTTTTGTTCTTCCACCTAATTTTTCCTTGCAAGCTGCAAGTCTTGGAACAGTTTTAATCTGTTGCTGTTGCTGGTTTTATTTGTCAGTGTAGATGTTCTGATTTCTTCTTCACATGCTTCAGTGCTGTAATGTTTGAATGTGGATTTTTTTGCTTTTGTGTGTGTTCTTCTTATGCCCTGAAGTATGTTAAAAATGGGTCTTTCCTTATCTTTTGTGATTTTTGTTTTTACTGTTTCTAACTGTATTACAGTTTGCTAGGAGGTTTTTTTTTCTGAAAATCAATTTGCAACCCCTGCTCCAAGTGCTTCTTGGGCTTTCTTACATCCTCTAGAGCTGCTTTTTCTTCTTATAAATCTCCCCCTTTTCTTCCTTGCTTTGTGACAAGAAATTCAGGACAATTTTATTTTATGTATTCATATTAAGAGCAACTGCGTTCTCTTCACTGATGATGTAAAGCTATTCAACACCACAAAAAATGCTGCTACCCTTCAAAAAGACCTTGACTATGTATCAGAATGGTCAAACAAATGGCAACTTCAAATCTAAACAAATAAATGCTCTGTCTTACATATTGACAAAAAAAAAATCAGAAAATAAAATACAAGCTGAATAGTCAAGACCTTGTTGATGATCCAAACTCTGTCAAGGATCTTGGAGTACCCATGTCTAATGATCTAAGTGCTAGAGACCACTGTAACTACATAGCCAAAAAGGCATTAAGGGTTGTTAACCTAATCTTATGTAGATTTTTCTTTGGTAATATCACACTATTAACTAGAGCATACAAAACATTTGCTAGACCAATACTTGAATACAGCTCATCAGTCTGGAACCCACATTACGTATCTGATATTAACACAGTTGAGAAAGTCCAGAAATATTTCACAAGTAGAGTTCTACACTCCTCTACTCATTGCAGAATACCTTATGTCACCAGACTTGAAATTCTAGACCTAGAAAACCTAGAACTATGCCGCCTTTGGTCCGATCTAAGTATAGTATATAAAATCATACATTGCAATGTCCTACCTGTCAGTGAATACTTCAGCTTCAACCATAACAATACAAGAGCACACAATATATACAAACTCAAGGTTAACCGCACTAAACTTGATTGCAGGAAATATGACTTCAGCAACAGAGTGGTCAATGTCTGGAACACTCTACCTGACTCTGTCGTTTCTTCCCGAAACTCCAAAACTTTAACCTTAGACTGTCTACTATTGACCTCACCCCTTTCCTAAGAGATCTGTAGGGGGCGTGCATAAGTGCACCAACGTGCCTAACGTCTCTGTCCTATTGTTTCTTTTTATTTTTCTTCCATGTATCCATTTCATGTATTCATAACTATGTTTATACTTATACCTATTATCTTGTAAGCGATTGACAAATCAAATAAATAAAAAAAATAAATTTTCTCCTCATCAAAGCCTTCCTGAAGTGACGGAAGCTTGAAAAAACAAGTCTGCTCAAAACATCTTTCTACTTTGCTCCCATAGTCCATTCTCCACCTTTTTGCCAGTCACACCCATTTGGCTGATTCCCTGTGAAGTGAAGGTTTTGATGTCCTCCCCATATTGAGATGATAAAGAGTTTCAGGAGGTTTTAATCACTTACCTGGTGGCAGAAGTGGCTCAAAGGAGGAAGAGCACCTGAAGAAGACAATGTGGTCTCCGTGTGGTTGGTGCTGTTGTCTTGCTACAAGCTTTCTCCAGTCAATGAGGTTTCTGCTGCTAGTGGTAATAAAAGTCAGGCAGGCAAAACTTCTTCCTGTTAGGAGAAGATAAGGCCCCCAGCTTTTGAGTTCCTAGAAAGACAACTCTGAAGGAGAAGCTCTTTGCATTAATAACAAATACTGGGTGTTAACCAACCTGTGTTAACACTACTCTTAATTACACCTATTTTATTATTAATTATATATTTTATAGTTTCAGCACTTTCTGAGGAGTCGTTGAACAGAAAGGTATTTCCTTTCAAGTATTAGCAGGTCTATTTCTTCCATAGAAATCAATAACATCTTTTCAAGGGGAGGGAAGGGAGGGATGTGCACTACAGTGTCCAAAGTCTCTGCAGCTCATTCCTGAGTTATGTCTGTCCGTTGGTATCTTTGCCCTCAGCCAAAGGTGCTCAGTCTTTGCAGTTTCAGCTAACCCACAGTTTCAACTATGCTCAGATTGTGGAAGGAAAGTTAAAACCCACCACTTGCTGTGCTACAAAGGCAATCAGAAAATGCATTCCAGTGGTGGGATTCAATTTTTCTTTTACTACCGGTTCTGTTGAGTGTGGCTTGGTGGGCGTGGCAGGGGAAAGAGACTGTAAAATCTCCAGTCAGAGGTGGTATTTGCTGGATTACTCAAAATTTCCACTACCGGTTCTCCAGAACTGGTCAGAACGTGCTGAATACCACCTCTGGTGTATTCTAATGTAAAGCATTGAATTCTGGAAATTAGCTTTCTTGTAAGATATCAGAAAACTCCAAAGTGACTACAAACAAGTCTAGAATTCATTAAGATGACAACAATTTGGGGATTAAAATGGCACAGACAGGATATTTAAGATGATAACTGCTCAATAAAGAAGAGAGCAGAAGGCATAATTATATATTTTTTCTAATTACTTTCTTTATGCTTTTTTCTTACTTTGCAATTTTTGTTTGTTCATTTTTACAGTATTGAAAAATTCACATGTACACAAATTATATATGACAATACAGTATTGTAGCAACAATTTATGGAGGTTTCCCAGTACAGCTGATCTGACCCCACCGATCTGTTAAGATGGCTGATGAAGACTAAATCAAACCAAACAAACTCCTTTGTCCAATGTTCTTCTGGTTCATCGTTTATTTGTTTTCTGTCTCACATTTATTATTTTTATAAGTAACTCAAGGCAAAAAACATACCTAATACTCTTTCTTCCTCTTATTTTCTCCACAACAACAATCCTGTGAGGTGAGTTGGGCTGAGAAAGAATAACTGTTTTAAAGTTACCCAGTCGGTTTTCATGCCTAAGGAAGGACTAGGACTCACACTATCCTGGTTTCTAGGCCAGCAGCACTTTAATCATCTCACCAAACAATAAAGGTATTCTCAGAACCTGAGAAACAGGATGTTAGTTTGCCAAACAGCACACTTTTGGAAGATCTCCACATTTTTCCTTGATCATGAAATCAAGCTTTCTTGATTTCATGCCAGCTCCCCATCAAGAAATGGATAACATCATCATAATTGTTATCATAATTGAGACGGTCAAGGAATCCCTCTCCTAACAAACTGAGATATAAAGGGAATTTGGGTATTCTCAGATTATGACCACAATTGACCCCCCAATTTTTATTGTTAAGTGAGACATCTGTTAAATGAGTTTTGCCCCATTTTACAACCTTTCTTGCCACTGTTGTTAAGTGAATCGCTGCAGTTGATAAGTTAGTAACCAGGTTGCTAAGTGAATCTGGGTCCCCCATTAACTTTCTTGTCAGAAGGTCACAAAAGGTGATCACATGACCCTGGGACACAGCAAAGGTCATAAATGTGAACCAGTTGCAAAAACAATCTGAATTTTGATCACATGATTATAGAGATGCTAGAAAGGTCATAACTATAAAAAACATTTGTAAGTGATACTTTACAATGTCATGGTAACTTTGAACTGGTCACTAACAAACTGTTGTAACTACCTGTACAAAGATATCCAGTTGCCAATGTTCCTACTCCTGATCTGCCTTTTCCTCTGTCAAGAATCCTGGTTAGCACTGCACCTACTTCTTGGCCCATCAGCAACTTGCTGCTTGCCACTTCTTGAATGCAGGAACAGATGATGTTGTCCTCCTACTTCTACTCCCATCATTTTGCGAATACACCCCACACCAACTTCTTCCCAGCTTCAATTCAAAAAGGATAATTACTGTTTTCTGATCTGAGTCATCTTAAGACCCTCACAATGGCGGATGGTTCCTATGCTTTGTTCTGCTTGGGCAACACTCTACTCCTGGGCAGTCTGGCTGCTATGTTGTCTGCCAATTGCCAATTACTTTTCCTTAAATAATCTTCTGCTTAACCCAATGGTGATCTGCTAAGTCTGTGAACCATCAATGCTAGACTCTTATCACTCCATTCACACTGACATTTCCCAGTTTGCACCTGTTTGGGTTTGTGTCCAGGCTGGATGAAGCATGCACTCTTTGCTTTCCCACACGATGCCTACAGTACTACAAAGTTTCCCTTCCAGGACTGACTGCCTTAATGCATGGGCCTGATGGGAACTTGCTCATGGGCCCAATGAGCATAGCCCCACCCCCCCTAGTATGTGTATATTAACTCTTCAATGCACCTCGTATCATATAAATACAACAACATATTTATTAAATTTTACTGCCTTTTTAAATTAATAGGTGTTATTTTATTAAATAACACTAATTTTGTTGGAAGTGCCAATAAAATAAATATATGTTTAATTTTATTGATCATTTACATTTTTATTCCTGAGAACAGGTTATCATAGGGGCCCCAGTACACTGCTTTGCCCGGGGCCCATGATGCTGTTAAGATGGCCCTGTTCCCTTCCTGCTCTTTTGTTTTTGACAACATTTTCAAGTGATCATGTTGGATAACTGCTGCATTGTTTCTGTGACGCCGATCTATCCCGTTCTTCCTTGCATCAGATTTTCCATGGACCTATGAAGGAAATGGGAAAGAAGAACCCTGCTGCATTCATTATTATATCATTGGAATTGCAATGATACTATCAGGGGTGGGTGGGGGAGGGGGATGAAAGTTTTATGTTAGAACCAAAGGAGGGATGAAAGGACCCACATGTATAAATTTGGGGGAAAGGAAGGCAAAAGAGAGGGAATGAGTGAGAAGGGAACAATCCCTGAGACAAACGGCCAGGTATTGGTAGACACAACGTCACCAGAGCTAGTCAGCCAAGTTTGCCTTCCCTGCGTGGGTGGGAAGGGGAAGAAGCAGTGACCAATCAGTCATGGGATGCCAGGAGTCCAGAGTCAGGGATGTCAAAGTTGATTTCATTGAGGGCCACATAAGGCTTGTGTTTGACCTCAGGAAGGCCGGAGGGGCCATGACCAGAGGGCATGGCCAGCTTGATGTCTCTCATGTCGGGGGCACTTGTGGTGGCCTGGGGGGGGGGGCTGGGGGGAGGGCTGCGCCAAGCTCCGTTTTCATTGGCAGAGGCACTGTGGGCCAATCCTTCACTGTTTCCAGGACAGCCCTGCAGGCCAGATCTAAGCACTCTGTGGGCCAGATTCAGCCCACAGGCCTTGAGTTTGACACCCCTGTCCTGGATTCTTTGCCAAGTTGCTGCAATCTGGAAAATAATTTCCAAAACTGGTTGGAGAAACAATCAAGAGAGATGAGAGACAAGCAACTTGGGCTGCAGGGTGGAGCAGCCTTCTGTGAGACTTTCTTGGGAATGAACAGCTCTGGTGACTGGACATTTATACCTTTTAAGCCTCGCTCTCTTGCTCCAGTCAAATTTAATTGTCATTTGTACAGTCCTGTGCAGATATAGCTGTGACTTCCCAGACCCTTCTGGTTGTATCAGATTCAGGATTTGTAGGCTATCGTGAGCATGTTGAGGTTTACATACACAGCCATGAATGAAACCTGCTATATTTGACCCCCTCATACATGGAACAACCTGACCTTGGCACCTCTTAGCTGAAGGCAACGAGAAGAATTGTTGATTTATACACATAAACTGCAAGGGGTATTTATTATACAGAACTAGATTCTTTGAAATTTGGTGTACCATTTCACACAGGCAAAAAAAATACGACCATTTATTGCATTCTCCCCAAACAGCAATATTATGTTCACTTAAAAGAAAGGATTGTTATTTGAAAATCTTCACAGCATTAATTTCTATTAATGTAAGAGAAATTAAATTAAAAGAAGTAAAAATACAGCATGTTGGTGTAGGCTTTGACAGCTACTATCGATTTTAATATTCCCGGCCTTGCCTACAACTTTAACCCCTTTTCATTTAGCTCACAGTTGGGTGTTTTCACTTTAAACCCAGACAGTTGTGGGTGTTAGGAATGTAAGTCACCTAACAGCTATTTGGACTGAAAATATATAAACCAGGATAAACATTTTAAAATTGTATCTTTAAGAAAATGAAAAAGTGGTAATTGGGTGTGGTTTCTCAAACGACCATAAGATGGAGCCAGAAACCTGGGTTGTCTTAGTCTTAGTCTCAGAAGAGAGTGTGTCTCAGTGAATCTCTGTTTACTTCTGTTGGAAAGTATTGCCGTTCTTCTAATTGACTGATATTCTTGGATTTGATGTAAGTCTGATATCGAACTGTTTTTGGCACTGGACTTTGTTATTGGACTATTCCTGGACTACAAAATGACTGATCTTACCTGTGAATGACTTTGGATTGCTTGTTTGGACTTTGCTTAAACCGTTTCTGGAAGTAAAACCCTACATTTACTGTACAGTGTATTTGTGTGCTGTGTATGTATTATTCAAACACTACTCTCAATACGTCTCCCTGTATGTGCTCATTCTCCTAATGGGGAATTACCCAAACAGTTGGTTTTTAATACTGGTACTCCTCAACAGTTTACTTAGTGACCGTTTGAAGTTACAAAGGCAGTGAAAAAAAGTGACATATGAACATTTTTCACACTTATGACCATTGCAGCATCCCCATGGTCACATGATTTACATTTGGATGCTTGACAG